AAAGGGTGAATAATTATTGCTATCTTGGCACATCGCTTGGTATGAGCTTTCAATCTGGTGCAAAATCTCCTCTTTCATAGCCTGAAAAAAATAGGAGAATGCAATCTATTACTAGCTAAGAAAATCTGTAATTACCAATCAAATTCACAGTAAGGAAACAACAGTCCATCATTAAGTGTATTTGGGGTTTGCGTAACCATTCTGTTATCTTTTCCACTAAATTATCAGTTTTCAAATGGTGCGCTAATGACGTCACTCTTTGAAATTGTCACCTTCAGTTGGTTTTTAGACTCGGTTTCTTTGCTCAAACATACATGGAACTGTTTCATGTCCTGCCGAAGCAAGCTGCAAGAAAATCTGCAGAACAGAAGAGAAGACATGAAGAAAAAAGAGCGCTTTAGTGAGGCAGTCCACATTTCTTGTCTTTTCCGACTGGACTTGTATCTTTCAAGTTCACAAATCACAAACCTTACCCAATGTTTATTGCAGTTTCCTTCTTGTCACCAGTGAGCAGCCATATTTTCATCCCTGCTTGAGCAAGTTTATCTATGCATTCTACAACCTGATACATAAGTCAAGAAAGATGCATCAGTTCCATAAAACAGACTCTCTACTTTCAATCCCACACATGCATGTACTCGCTCAGAAAGAGAAAATGCTAACCCCTTTCTGTAACTTGTCTTCAACAGCAGCAACTCCTAATAAAATTAGTTCTTTTTCTATCATTTCAGTTGCATGCTCCAGTAATTCTTCTCTTTCAGGACCTACTGTAGTCTTTGCCTGCATAAATATTGAGTTCCACCGTTCGTACGCAGCCAGCTCAAGTACTCGGTAAGCAAATGCTAGAGTCCGAAATCCATCTTCTGCATAATTTGAAAGGTGTGAGGTTGTTGCTTCTTGGTATGCCCCACCATTATCTGCAAGCCTATCGAAGATGATGCTGGAAAAAAAATGTTGAAAAATGAAAACAGAATGACTTAAGTGGAATTCATTCACTGTTGTACAGAACTGGATTCAAACAATGGAATGAGTGAGTGGGCGACTTACCTATCTGCCCCTTTGCAGAGAAGATAGATTTTACCATCTTCATCTCTTACTATTACAGACATTCTTTTACGAGAACTACTGAACTCCAACAAATTCAACAGCTTGTACTCCCTGAACATAAACCACGACATTAGCTTAACGCTTTTTGACATGGGGGGGTGTTCGGGGGCGGGCATACCTCTTCACCTGCTTCCCGGAGTAAGGATCAAGCTCTTTGAGGGTCATTAGGGATTGTGTCCGCTGGAAAAATTGGAATCCAAATTCTTGTGAAGCAATCAAAAAAGCAACTTCTTCTGGGGACTCTGCTTCATATTTAAGCTTATCAGTTTGGCCATCTTCAACGGGTATACCTGTGTGACATAGAGCCATGACTCTGAAGAACATTGTCATATCAAACAAGTCAGACCTGTAAATCCACTGGTTGTTCATTAACCTGTCATCCCTGAAGTTGAAACCCTTGATGACCTTGATAAATGATTCTTTCCTCACATCAGAGAGTCTTGAGTTTCTAGCATTCAAATTATCTGCATTTTCTTGACCCCTAAGAATAGCCTGTTGAGTGATAATATCAGCCACGGAAAACTCAGACATTTCAAGGCTCTGACTTGTTGTGTCAGATTGGTCGATACTAGATCGATATGCCTCAATGTCAGTATTCATTCGCTTTGAAGCTGCAATATCAACTTCATTTATGTTACCCCCATACGAAATTCCAGCAATCGAGCATTTCCTAAACTCCATCTGATTACAAGTCAAAGTTCCTGTTTTATCTGTCAGAATGATTTCTACTTGACCAAGTTCTTCATTCAAATTTGAAGTTCGAGCCTGGACAGACTTACAGGTTGCTTCATCATACATTTTTTTATCCTTGTTAATGAACTTAGCTTGTAGAACCTTGACAATTTCAATGGAGACATACAGAGAAATGGGAATCAAGTAACCATACAATATTAGAGCCCTTATGAACTGAAGAAAACCTGATCTTAAAGGATTTGATGGATCGAAGAGTGGATCAGAATCTTCCAAACTAAGGTACCACCATTGACTCATATCTGATTTTATGACCACAGCAGACCCGATGGAAGTCACTAGTGAGATCAGAAGAAGCATAGAGAAAAGAAGGTAGATGACTTTATCCATCTTTTTCTCAACCCTGCTTCTTTTAGATGGTGACATGGTGGAATTCCTTACTACTTTCGTATCATGCCCGCTAAAGATCACTGCTCCATAAACATAATCACTGTTTCGAAGCTTTGAATCTCTTAGAAGTAGCTGAGAAGGGCTCAAGGGGTATATTTTATTCTCAAACTCTAAATTCCCCACAAAGGTGTAAAGGCTTGGATTGGGATCCTCGCCACGGATGGTGGCTTTGAATTCACTGAATTTTGCATCCTCATTCAAATCAAGTGTGACCTCTAAACATCTCTTGATTTTCAGATTCGTTTCTCCATCAAGGTTCATAGTCTCCACATAACAAACACCATCTTCATAGCTGGACGATAGCAAGAGAAGATCGCTCGAAAAGTATTCATCCTTGTTAACCTTAACAACATCTCCTACAGAAATCTCTCTCCATAATTTATCCACAAATAAGCCATTTCCTGCATGAGCCTTTACTGTTCGAGCGTTCACATTCAAGTCCTGCACAGAATTAATGGTAACATAACCATAGCAAGAAAATCCATCTAAATTTCACTTTAAAGTAAAAATATAATCAAATTCTGAAATGTAAAGATGATGGAAAATAAAGTGAATAATTAATAATTAATGGGTGACAAAAGTTTTCAAATGATATGAGGAGAAAAATCAGAATTCATGCTATGTTTTGCAAGAAGTTACCTGCAAAAACCTATACCAATCCTCAACAGCCTCTTTGAGCATGCTGATCCCCACCACAAATACCAACGGAGCAATCAAACTTACAGGTTTAACAGGAGAGAAAGGAGTGACGGACAATGCTGCTGTCAAAAGAAAATACAAATTGGCAACTCTCCGGAACTGCTCGAAAAGTGCTTTGGGTAGAAAAGTGACAGCAGTGTACTTTTTTGTGGATACCGAGTTGTTTGTGTACTTGTAAGGTTTTCTCTTGTGCACTTGAGGTTCATTGCAGAAAACCACCCGAGAAAATCCTGGCTGACCGATGAGCTCCTGAACAGAATCAGGATCGGATGTGTGTGGTCGAAAGCACGAAAATGAATACAGTTTGCTCCATCTTACCTTCCCCTTTGTTCTCCTAGATGATCCTTGCATCGTTCTCACCACATAAATTTCTGTTAATTCAGTATGATATAGAAAAAGGAAGGAAAAAAAAAACCTTCAACGATAAGAAATCGTAACTTGCTCTATCATTTCACCAAAACCAGAATTTTCAAGACAAACCCTGATGATTTTAATAGCTGAGTGAGTGTAGTTTGTCTTCATCTACCTTGGATAGAACTCGACATGAAACAGTGGGTGCCAAAAACAGCCCACGTCATATTGGAAATGTCAACATTTTAAAATAATTCCTTTCTTTGTTTATTGAGATTCTTCATTTTCTCAATTCTCAACCTTTCACCATCACTAATCTTTTCTGAGAAAGACAATAACAATGCTATATTTTGTACTTTCTTGGAGCATGCAGACCTTTGACTGGGTGAAATTCGCACATGCTTCAGAACTCTCTCTCATCTGAACATAACAAATGTTTACTTCTTTATGCACACCTTAGAAATTTCCAAAATCGATCAACACAAGATGAAAAACCAAGAAAAACACATGGTTACTGCAAATTTAAGCTAGCCTCTTTATCAGAAATTATATGCAAGTTAATTTAATATCACCCTGCACTGCCTCTAGATCCGCGAGCCAAATCTTGTAAACTTTCCTTCAAATCTGAGATGCTGAATTAGCTGTACAAGCGTTCACATGTCTGTGTTCATCTTATCATCACCTACTAAAAAATTCATAAATCCCCACTTTTCTTGGTTGCTGCATTATTAAACAGAACTTAACATTGTAGTCAACGGTGCCGGAGGTAGAAGAATGGCAGTACATGCTATTTGTGTCCTTGAGTTAAAATATTGCTTTCTATCATTCCATTTCCATTCCTATAGAAATATCTACGAATTATTTTAATGCCACTATTGTTTGGGCTCTGATTACAATATGATACGTGAACATCAACCATAAGATGTAGAAGAATCTGATGCAGAATTAAGAAAATCAGTAGAACAGATGGGGTTTTTAATGCAATTAGAATATAATTTGATAGCCGGCTACACTTGCCGGCTACGAAATGGATTCCATTCGGACTAGGATTAGAGAATAGAAGACACTTGGTAACTTTGTGAAGGGAAATAAAAACAATTGAAAAAAGGACATTGAAACCAACGGCTACTTTTTTTTTTTTCCAGAAAAATATTGAACTACTAAGTACAAATCAAGCAATCCCTCGAATTCAAACACAAATCCAGAAGCAGCCAGCCAAAGTGCTTACTGCATTAAACACATCGCTTCTATGCTCCCTTTCCTGGATATACAATGTTCAACACGAGTATCTTGAACTGTCCCTTTTTTTGTCCTAATTTTTTTTTGTTTGACCTCAAGGAAACTCCATATGTTGCTTCAAGCATCATCCAACGTAATTACACAACAACCAGGTGCCTACCGCCAGAAACAATAGTTTTCTCTAGTGAACCGAGCATCATTCTATGTAGGAGCACAATGATCCAGCTACACACAAGAATTTCATCCCATCAAAAGTGCATGTTTTATTTTTTTCAGAAACGTCAGACCTACCAATACTGTGCTACTAACAGTATCTTTAATCTCAAATGATCTTCAACTGCTTTATGTCAGAAGTAGATACTAGTCGATAAGAACCAAAGTCTACGAACTTTATGCTTCTAATATGCTCATATGATCCTCAAGGGAAGCTCGTAACCAATTTCCTTCACAAAATGGCTGACCTCTAAATCAAAAGAATGGTTTTACTGCAGAGAACATTTCCATTCATAATGGATATTTATCAATTACATCAGAGCAAAGAAAAAATATAAGTAAATGTTCAAATTACCTAAACAAATATGCATTTTCATGTTTAATTTGACTTGCAATATCAAGTGCCTTATAATACATCACCAGCGAATTCATCCAATGCCCTGCATTGTTGTATAGGTACTATTTTAGCCGCCCAAGATTCGATCTGAGATTGAAGGAAGGTACTGAGTCCAGACATTGCCATCACTGTATTCCAAGGCAGTTCCACTGATGGATTCAATGCAACTAGTCTTGGGCCCATCGTAGTAGATAATCATGCTGTTGTTAACTTCAGATGATGTGATATCCTTGACAAACCAAGAAGAACCACTAGGCAAAATGATGAAATAATAACAAATCGATAAACATTCAATTTCCAACTGTTAAAACACACTGCTCCAAAAATCAAGCCCATAGAATTATATTCCGAGTCACTAGTCTTATAAACAGAAAATTGTCAACTGGTACCATGTCAGATTCCTAATAGAAGAAAAGAAAATCACAATTAGAGGAGAATATGAAACCTCTCTCTCAAATTCAGAGCTTTGCTCCACCATTAGACGGTCTCAACAATATCTTTGTCTAATTTCCTTGCATTAATCACGAGCACACTTAAGTCTGGCAAACAAGTATCCTTTGCATAACGTGTCTCAAACCCAAGGCTTTGAAACTGATCTCTGAATAGCATCCAACACATCAGAATTCACATTATTTTTTAACCTCTGAGAGCAGTCTTCGGCAGTTGCTATAGCATAATCATCCAAGTCAACTCCAATGAGTTCTTCAACTCTAGCCCGCAATACAAGTAAAGGAACTTGATGACACTGCTCTTTCAGGAGAAACATCGACTGGAGAAATGGTCTGTTGCCACATATAGATATCATGAATTACCCTATGACTGAGAAAAGTATATATTCTGATGCCACTTGCCTAAGATAGTATTACAATAAGTTCAGTGTTTTCTACAGCTTCATTTTTGCTCATTGCTAATTTCAAAAGAATTCCCCATTTCATCCAAAGATAACAAAACAGGAAAAAACTTCTATAAACACCAGCAATACAGAAAAAGAAAGGCAATTGTTAAACATACAGAATTAACCTTCATAATTACATTCACTGAAATGTATATGAATTTGCTCAAGAACTGGTGCACAGTTGATATGATAAACGGTACTATTTCCTCATAACTGGGTTTAGCATATTGTTCATCAGAAAAGGCAATCCTCACAATTTCTTCAACCTCTTCCTGCCTACCTTATTTCATAACAACATCAATACAAACAAACAGATTACGTGCTCCCCAAAAGTATTATTTAGCATGAAAACATAATAGTAATAGTGTTACCCGTGAAGTTCAAGGTTTGAATGTGGAAACAAGACCTTCAACTTATAGAAAGGCACTTTGTCTTCATCCCCTCCAGGGATAAAGAAATGAAATGAAACCAGTTCTGGATAGCTGATCATCAGCAACAAGAAATGAGAAATGAGAAAAAAGTTTAACAAAATAGAACAAGCCTTCTACAACAAATCCAAACTCCAACAACAAAGATTAACAAGCAATTGAATAAGCCAATGAAAAGACAAAACAATAACTCTAGTACACAATATCCAATTTAAATTACAGGTACAAACAATAAACATGCAGAAGGATCTATCATCTAATGCTGAAAATTTGAAACCAAGTAGCTAGCTTTGATCTCTTTTTCAACAAAATTATACAAGGATGAGTTCAAACAAACCTTGAGCTAGACAGAGTTGAATTTGCAAGTACTGCAAGAACTCCAAGGTCTAAACAATCCATCCATGATACAACATGCAACATTCCATCATCTCCAATTCCATCACCATTTCTTGTATCAAACTATCTTAACTATAACCATAAAAATAAATAAATAAATAAAAACAGAACTATTAGCCACGAGTGTATACAATGCAACATCAATCTTGACTACACAAACACCATAAAGTTTCGAGCTTGAACCAAAAAAGTGCATAGAATGAACTTAACTGGAGAAGAAAGATTAGAATGGAGAGGAACCCAATTTCTGGAAGGGTCAAATGGTTCTCGAAAATGAGTGGCAGGTAGTAACTGAAGCAAACCAAGGAGTATAGACAGTCCGAAAGCTAAAACTGAAATAAGGGTCTTGGATTTGGAGCCGGAGCTAGACCCGGATTAAGGGGTCCGGAAATTATTGGGTTGTCTGACGTTTGAGATGATCTTCTCTGAGTTGCAGGATATGCTGACGGCAAGTACGAGGAAGCCATTGACTCCTCTCTCTATCCTTTTTTTTTTTTTTTTTGTAGTTGTTCACTTGCAATATGCTGATGGCAAGTACGAGGAGGACATTGACTCTTTTCTTTCTTTCTTTTTTGTCGTTGTTTCCTTGTTCTTGTGTGATGCGAGCGAGTTGTCATGTAGTTATTTTCAAGGATGACGACTTGTCGTTTGAGGACTCTAGGAGCTGATCTTCCTTTTTACGGGAGTGATTCAGTGTTTGGCTATGCAATGTAGAGGGCTAACAATCATTTATCTGGTCCCTCTAGTTTTATATTTTCCAAATTAAGCCTCTACGTTAAATTGGATAAAATCAAGTCTTTCACTTCAAATTAGAGGTTATTCTATCCCCTTTGAATGGCCTGACGAATGCAATATGTTATTATATGTTTGGAAGAAGAATCTCCAATTACCGAATTTGTTGAAGATTTAGCTTGGGGACTCAATTGAAAGAAGTCATGCTAAATGGTTAAAAAAACCACAATTGAATCCTGTACTCTCCATCCACCTCTATTAAATTGTCCTTTGCATACAGTGCTTTTTAAAAAGCTATATATATAATGAAGTATAAAGCGTCTTTATTTCAGGAGGAAGGATCAAGCTCCGCAAGCTACAAGCTCTCCCTCATTTTTATTTTTTATTTTTAAAAGAAAACTAGGTCAGTGCTTGACTCGACCTTTCCAACTAGTTGGGTGTGGTCGTAAATTCTAGGTCCTTTACTTATCTGATCTTTAATGTGAATAGGGAGTATTTCATAGGCTCAAAGCCCATTTGCGAGACCTGAAAAAGATCCAGACACGGAGTTTAGACCCAGGCTCGAAGCCTGGGTTCAATGTTCAGTGCCGGCCACTTGACCTGGTACCTTTCGTTTATGTATATGGCGCCACACTAATGGCTTATAAGGTCGCCAGGCTCTGACGCTTTTATTAATTTATATGATTCCGGCATTTGGCCTTGAGTGATATTAGAATAAAAATATTAGGAGTATACTAATTTCATTAGCACTATTATTAAATCTAATTAAGCATATAAATTTTAAAATTTATTAATCTAGCTTCTTATCTAATTTGGATTTTCAATTAAATAACACAAGAGATGACCCAAAATGAATCAATCAAATTAATGAGTCTAAAGATAAATTGGATGAACTATAAAAATATAACATAAATTTTAAAAAATATTTAAATATAAATCTAAAAAAAAATATTAAGATGATACCAGATTAGATCGATCTTGGTTACCTTATGATCTCGGTCATGGACTTCAATAGGTTTGATATCTTTGTTGTTTTTGTAAATTTTTTTATTTAATTTTATAATAAAAATAAATGCTTCAAAAATCGACGATCAACTTTAAAAAATATGTTTATTTGAATCTTAATAACCCCATAAAAATATTATTAAATTTAATTAAGCAATTTAATCTTGAAATATATCATCTCAGCTTTTTGTCTAGCTTGAGTTATCAATTAGATCATACAAGAGTTGATGTAAAGTAAATCAATCAATTTAATGAGTTTAAAATCAACTTTGATGAATGGTAAAAACATGACATAACTTTAAAAATACCTTTAACATGATATGTTTTAAAAAAATTATTGAAATGATGCTAGATTAGATCGATCTTGGTTACTTCGCTACACCTGCAAGCTGAGACAATTAGGGTTACCTCATCAAACTTGCAAATAAGGTCATTAACACCATAAAGTTTAATAACTTAGTATTTTAAAAATTATTTTTTTATATAACTAAACTTTTTTAAAAATAGATTATACCATAAAGTTGAAATATTTTTCTGATATTGCAATAATCATATAAAAAATAAATTAAAATAAATTATCAATTCTAAACTCCAATAAACATATAATATAAGGACTAAATTAAAAGAAAATCAATAACTAGAGAAAAAATGGGTCAAAAAGAAATAAAAATAAAATTACAAAATACTACGGATTATTATTGTAATCCACATTGTTCATGAGTGTGGGGAATCAATATTTTCCTCACACCTTTTAGCTTTATACTTCATAGGTAATGTGATTGTGCTCCATCGCGAGTCATATATTTTTACTTTCTATTAAAAAAATATATATGCAAGTTTTTTTATGTATTTTTGTTGCTGGAATATTTTTTAAATGTAAATAAAAATATTTATGCATATATCTAATGAAATAAATTGAGAATTATGTATGCTAATAAATTAAAAAAATAATTAATGATAACAAAAAATAAAACTGAAAAAATCAAAACAAAAATATAAACCAAAATACTTAATTTCACCACACAAGATATTTACCATGTTATGTTTACTATATATATATATATTATTTGAATAAAATAAAAAGTAAAAAATATATTATGCAGAGCTAACATATTAAAAATATTATTTGAAAATAAACATACTTTAATTAACAAAATTTAGCAAACAGGGGTGTTCCATTATATTTGGAGTGGACTCCTGCCAATATTCTTATTCAAAGTTCAATCTCCAAGAGTGATGAAAAAAATGATTCAGCTGTGGGTGAACATGATGCCAAAGGGTGATACTGGAGCAAAGCTTGGAAGAAATATCCGAAATGGATATTGATCCTGATAGAATTGAGGTTAGACACATATCATTTCTCCTCTGCATTTGTTTCCTTATCTTCTTCTTCTTTCCTTTTTTTTGAAGTTATAGATATCTCCTTCAATTTTGGAACTATACTACTGCAAGGTTGTGAATTACATGATACCACAAAAGATTGTGAATTATAAGAGATTGATTTTATAGCTGTGGTTTCCCAATTTCATTCTTTATTTTTCATTTTTTGGTTTGTTGTCTGTTTTGCTACAGTCGCGATCTTTGTTTGTCAAGAACCCGAATTTCAAGATTGCTGATGAAATTTTGAAAAAGCACTTCGGTGAACACATGAAGGAAGGGAGAATCCAAAGTGTCAGGGTAATAATCTAGATCACTGTAACCTTAACTGTATTGTATATTCTGTATCACTCTTATGTTGGGTTTCATTTCATTCATTTCACATGCAGATAAAGAAGCACATGAAAAAACGGAAGAATGTTTCAATGGGTTTTGGCTTTATAGAGTTTGATTCTGTGGAAACAGCTACAAATGTATATCTGCAGAGATCTACAAGTAATTACAAATCCAGACATTGTGTATAGTTGTTGAAATCTGCTGCTGTTTTTGCTCACCTTCATTTTACCAGTCTTCTGTTCAGGGAACTGTTTTGGATGGCCATGCTCTTATTTTGCAACTTTGCCATGCCCAGAAGGATGAACATGCAGTGAAAAAGGCTGGGAAGGATAAGACTTCTACAAAACTGCTTGTGAGAAATGTAGCTTTTGAGGCAACAGAGAAAGATCTCAGACAGCTATTTAGCCCATTTGTCCAGGTGACTATTTTGTTCCAGAAAATTTCTAAACCATGCTTATTATCCAAACGTTTATAACCAATGCTCTATTTTTCAGGTTCTGGAGAGAGCAAAGGAAGGTGAGAGCTTGGAAGAATTACGGGCTCGCATGGCTGGCTGGACAATTTACCGAGGAGCAAAATGGTTTCCAGAATCCAGCCAAGTTATCCAAAAAGAGGAAGGCAGTCACTAACTTGGACGAAGAAAGCATGAAACTCTGGAGAATAACAGATTAGTGCTTTAAGCAAATATTTTCTTGTATTAAGGAGCAGAGAAGAACCGGGTTTGTCAACGGTTTTAGGTTATAGATTTTCCTTTATCCGAGCTGGCCCTAGTTTTGCTTTGTTTGGAGCTGATTTTTGTTTACTACTGTTCTGTCTAAGCAAATGAGTGACTGAATTTTCCTTCCTATCCCCTTATTTATTTTTATTTTGTAAAGTAACTTGATAGTGCCTGAGTCAGAAAGAAAATTTAATTTAATTTTCAAGCACGAGGACTCTCTTTATGCTTCTTCTTGCAGGCCAGCAGCCGCAGCCGCAGCCGCACATATATCAGGTCTCTTTGTAATTTGGCACATGGAAATTATAACATCCGTGTAATTTCCCCGAATCATCCTCCTTGCAAGTAGCGCTCGACTTCTAGGTTTTCGGCAAGTTTAACATTCCACTGCAATTGTGTTTTTTTTTTTTTAAAAAAAAAAATTTAGTTTTAAAATTATTTTTCATATATTTTTTTATTTTTTAGATATATTAATATTAAAATAGAATTAAAAAAATTATTTTAATATATTTTTAAACTAAAAACACTTTTAAAAATAATTTTTATCATACTATTAAACAAGTCTTTTATTAGTAGCAATTAATGATTTGCAAGTCTAAGGACGAGTGAAAGCAAGAAGATGAGGATCGTTGTTCTCCAACAATTTGGACATGATTTATCGGTTTGATTTCATTATAGATAATTAATCAATCATTGAATGATTTTTTCTAAATAAAAAAGTGTATATGTAACAAACTTATATGCATTGCTTTGCAAAAATAAAGATATTATCGATGTTATGAAGTTAGCCTTTGTATTAATTTCAATCAAATCATAATAAGGATCTACTTTGATTTCTTTATCGGTGGTATCATATCAATAACAAGCCTTTCGACCAAACCATTTAAATATAGCAAAAAAAAACTTTTAAAAATAATTTTTATCACGCTACTAAATAAGCCTTTCATTGGTAGCAATTAACGATTTACAACTAATGCTTCTTTAGTGAGGGACGAATGAAGGCAATAAGATAAGGATCATTGTTCCTGAACAATTTGGACAAGATCGCTAGGTTTGATTTCACTATGAATAACTAATCAACCAATGAATGATTCTTTCTAAATAAAAGAGTGTATATGTAATAAGCTTATGTGTATTGCTTAGCAAAAAAAAAAAGATATTATCGATGCTAAGAAGTTTAACCTTTGTATTAATTTCGACCAAACCATAATGAGAATTTACTTTGATTTCTCTATCGGTGGTATCATACCAATAAAATTTGAATAAAAAGACTTTATTAAGCTCGTTATAATATTGCAGTTTAATCATCTCTTCCAACTTTCCATAATAATCAACTTCAAACTCATTAGAAGTTGATCCCTCAACACAAACTCCATTATTGTCTGTATTCTACCTTGACTATATTTTTTAGTATGAAAGATATATTCATTGATAAAATATCTGTTATAGCACTTAACTTTTCTTTAAGAACCTAAACATAGTGCATTCAAACTATCACTAACAATCCCTTTCAATTGATAAACTTAGTACAAGATTACAATAATTAACAGTTAAAAAAAAGTTCAATGAAATTAAATATTATGAGAAATAAGAATTATTAAGTAATGCTTATATGTGTTCTAAACTACATAGAAAATTATTCATCTTATAATTGAAAAATTTAAGATTCAATTATATGTGAATTTTGAAAAAGCAAAAATTGATGATGTTGCGTATGAATTTTTTTTCAATTTATAAGTTTATAAAAGTACAAGAGAAAAAATATATAAAAATAACAACATGCTAACATTGTACTTCCTAAATAAAAGGTATTGATTCATCGTAGTTAAATAGCATATAATTATGTATATGTCTGGATTTGATTTTTATCAAGTATCTTTTCCTCACAGTATTTTTTAGTAAAGATCATATAGGATGAGAAAATATTAGCAAGTTCTCGCTCAAATGCACTTTTCCACTGTCATTGTGTCTTGGAATGTGATTGATTTTTGTTTTCAAGTGAAGTTCAAAATAATACAAGATAAATACTGAGATTTCCACAATAATATAAATCTCGAATATTGAAACCTCAACAAGCATCATGTTTTTAACCTTTATTTTTATTTTGAATAAGTATCTACATGAAATTAAATAAATATTTTAATTTTCAAAAAAGATAATATAATTGTAATTAGAATACATGTACAATCTATAACTTCTCGAATGGATACATCTATCTGCAGTAGACAAGGCCTTAAAATTTTATCTCAAATTATAAATGTATGGTTAAATGCTCCATTGAGTAAAAAAAATAGAGAGAATATCATCTTAAGTTTATAGATTGTTTAGATGATATTTATTTAAAAATTTTCCATGTATTAGATATATAATTTGTTAGAGTATATATTTCTAAAAAAATAATTGATCTCCACGAATGTATCTTATAACCCTTCAGCAATAAATATCGGTAAACAAATGGAATGAGTGTTTGCATAAATATATAGTAATCATGACTCTTCATTTTATATAATTTTTCATCCTTTAAATTCACCAATGTAGATATTTTCAAAGCATATTAATCAAGAAAATACAAACTTTTAAGTCATTGGTAGATAAGTAACTATGCATTATTATCTAAAGTGAAGTTGACTTTAGGCTTTGCGATCCGTGACCCATCTTAAACAAACTTTATATTTTTATAGTGACAAAACAAAAATATATCCATTTTAACTTTTATTTTGTCCTTTGTCTTTCTTTTTACATCCATCACCAATCTTATACCAATTATTTTAAACACCAAAACTTACCTAACTTTGAAGCTTAGTTTTTATGTTGCTATTTTTGTTGATTCCAATACCTCATATATTCCTAGCATGGAATTCTCTACTCTTGGGAAATTCGTGACTCTTGTCCCTCATGATTTCTTGAGTAGGATTGGATAAGTCTTCTATGAAGTGATTTATGTAGCTGTTGCTGGATATAACCAAATGCTTAGATGATCTAGTTGCATAATTATCCTAGCATAAGTTATTGTTGATGGAGCTTACTCCTTGTCCTGGTGCTCGATCATTTCGTTGTAATTCGTGCTTCAGACACTTAGATTATATAAAACTTTTGAAATCTTTTTAATTGTTAGGGTTCCTTCAAGTTGTAAATATTCCTTTCAACATTAATCACTTTCGAGTTTCACAGCTCATGAAAATTAATAATATATATAAATTTAATTTATAAATATTTATAATATGCACATAAAATTAGTCCAATTTATATATTTAACATGTTTGAATCGAAAATAATTTGAATGAATCAAAAATTAAATTTATAAAATATCAAAAATTAAATAAAATAAAATTATTAATGAAAATCCAATTCAACCGGGGTGCATGTCCTGGTTAAAAAAGTAGCAAAGAGGGGGTGGCGGGGAAAACGTCAGTGAAATTACACGTGTAGAATAGTTGCATAAAACAAGAAGCCTCATACATTGACAGCCTCTTGTGAGTAACTATTTGTTATTTGGATTCCAGGCTACCCCATTCCCATCACGTTTAGACGGTGTACTTTTCTTTACTAGAGAAAAAGATACCGGCAACATCATCTGCCCTCCATTTATCTAATACAATATATCTCTGAAGGATCAAGAGCAAACTCAACCATTGGTCTAAGCTCATCCCAGTTCTCATCTCCAAAAAGTTGGTCTCCATTAATTTGATTCAAAAAGCTTAGATATGATGTTGTAAATGGAACTTGACTCGTTAAGCTCATCTGGGCTGCAAACGACTGGTTATTATTTCCATAGAAATGATCATTGGTAGCTTGGCTTTCAATCACCTTATTATTGGCTGACACTTCGAAGCTTTCATCGTTATGCCTACGATTGTCTGATTCACAAGGGCTAGCACTTGAATCAGTACTAACACACTGTTGTTTTGAAGAGAGGTATTTTTTGTTAAAGGGAGCTTCTCTCTGGAATATTCGACAAAGTGTCCAAACTTCCTGTAACATTTAGAAACAGAAATAAAAACTATCAAAAACCGAATGGACTAAGCATCCCAGTTTTCAGTAAAAAAAATATATATATATACAAGAATGGACGAATCTTACAGCTTCGTGAATATCACAGTCTTCAGGATTGTTGAGGCTAGCAGTATTTTTACAAGCAGGAAGGCGAAATTCGTGCATCATCCAGTCTGTTTTCGTGCCTTTTCCAGCACTTCCTCGGTAATAAACTAAAGATTTTTTCAGGCCAATGCAGTAATGGATTTTCCCAACAGAATATATTGGCTTGTCAATGCCTGTAGCTTTCCAAAATCCAGATCTTGTGACCCTATTAGGTCTTATGCTGTTCTTATACTTTCTTCCTCTTCTACAGAAGAAGTACCACTCCCTTTCTCCAGCACTACAACTTGCTTCTTCTGTACAGAAAAATAAAAAGAGGCAATAAATAAAATTGATGAAGGAAATTTTCTTGCAGTTTAGTGACATGAATTTCTTGTCTTCTGCAACACTTGTACAGAATGGTATGGTAAACCTGATAGGATTAAGAACAACTTAATTAAAGAATTTTTTTTCCCTCATAATTCGTCCTAGTTTTATATAGTAGATTTTATATAAATCTCTGTGATAAAAAAAAGCAAATTATAGTTCTACTAATTACTTTGAAGGTGTTTAGAAAACATTTTTGTATTTCATGCACATAGTTATAATTAACTACATATATTAACATTATAACATATTTGAATCGATGAACAAAGGAGCAAAAGTGCAAGAGCATGCATACTTGGAAGATCCCATGGCTCATATTGGTAGACATCAACGTGTTTGATGAGGTCAATCCTGATAGGCTTCTTCTCTACTTTCTTTTTAAGATAAAATCCTACAAGTTCTTCGTCGGTTGGATGGAATCGAAACCCTGGGAGCAGGATGTCATCATCTTCTTCAACGTCTTTTGAACTCGCACTCAACCTATCCAACTCCATTTCCCTTCCTCTCAATGTTTACTTCATTATTTGATGATGCTTGCTATATAACCTTCTTATACACTTTGAGGAGAGGTTTTGGTCAAGGTCCTTGGCTTCGACAGCTAAAGAATGCAATTATTTATTTATGATTTTGAATTTTTCAACATAATTTAATTCTTTTGTCTCCATATGGAGATTTTTAAATTAGAGAAAGGACGGCGAACATATCTTGATGTGATCGTTTTGAAAAATCTGTGCAAACGAGAAGGGGTTGTTTGACAAAATGGGCTTCTATAAATGGTTTTCCACATCAGTCTGTTTGTAGATAACGGAATGGTAACGAGTGTAACAAGTAAAGTTCATCGCTTAAACATCAACTCTCTTGTATTAAATTAATCAAGTTTCTTTCCATTCGGTTTTTAGACACCAATACATTTAATTATGAGATTAACCCTACATGTTTAATGATATAGAAAATAAACAATGAGTCAATCCTTTTAATATAAGGATTTCGTTAACTAGTATTTAATTTTAAGATACCCATTAAGAGATTACTTATTGGCCCATTGTTAGTTTTTGATGGTTAATTAATATTTAAATGTGATAACGATCAGTTAATTTTGAGTTTTAAACTTTTTATTAAATCACAATATCACAAAACAATCGTGATTACATTAAAAAATTTAAATTCAAAATCCGTCAATTAATTATTACAGCATTTAAACAGTACTAATACCACTCGACTAGCCCTTAATTAATGTGATAATTAAGTGCATCTGTTAACTTTTCTCTGAAAATAACTTCTAAAAATATTACGTACATCGGAGATCATTTATGAGATTACAAGGTTTATCTCAAGAAATAATTATATAAACTTTGTTTGTTTGTGTGTATCTATTATATAATATGGAATGAAATATTTATAGCGATATATTGTTGAGTGTACCCACATGGCTAATAGGATTCCAAATTAATCTTTGATTCAAGAGAAGAAGACATCGTTGTCATTATGAATGTTATCGTAAAATTTTATAATTGAAGAATAAAAAAAATATATATCTGCATTTAATAAAATAATATTGAAATGCATATAAATTTTGATAAATCATAAAATAAGTAGTGAATGCTAATTAAAAATTACAATGAAAGATTGATCTTTTTTATAAAGAAGAAGAAGATAGATGCACATAAATATATTTTATCATGACTATCTTTTTTTTTGTTTTATACTCTTTCTTTTATTTATCTTTGAAGTTAATTTTAATTGTTGAGTGCATTATTCCATTTGGGATCTTTAAAAAACTCAAATATCAACTTATTCCCAAACTCAAATGTTAATGGAAGGTGAGGAGTGAACAATTTTAAATCCTATCAATTTATTGTATAATATTATAGAGTGCTCTCATTCCACAACTCAATGTAAATGATAGGATTTTCTACCAATTTCCTTCTATACTAAAACAACTGAAAATTTTTATACAAGAAGTCCCATCAAAATATTTCAAAACTTGTTACTTAGACTAAGTTTAATACAAATTCCCCGGAAAAAAATACTAGTTAAATCTATATATTAATCCACAAGCACGTGGTTCATTATAAAATTTTCAAGTCTAAGATTTCAAAAGTAACCTAATATATTTTTCTATCATATTCCATTCAAAAACATAGGGCTCGTCGGCAGCCAATAATCAGAACTTCTTACAAAGTAAACATTAAAATATGCTAGTAGCATATGTTTAGCTTGATTCTTTCACGTTGTTGGCGGCTTGAAGCACAACTTGATCAGGCATGTTTCCATTTTCATCCTTTTTAATTTGTTTGGTTACACATTTAATATTTTCCCTGTGATGTGCATTCACTAAAGGACAAGAAACTGGAAGCTGGGCATGGCAAATGATAGGTTGGGGATTTTTCTTTACTCACGGAATCTTGTGTGTGTGTGTGTGTTGATGCACAAAAAAAAAAACAACAACTTTAGCAATTCCTTGATGGCTTCTAAATTAAATGCTTTTATAGTTTTGTTTTAAAAAACAAAACTTAACCAGTTCGAAAAATAAACAAGAAGCCGTCTTCTACTAATATGCCTTTTGGCCCGACTAATTAAAATATGGTTTCTGCGTATGGCCAGAGAAAAAAAAATTATTTAATATGGTTGATGTAATTCAATAGGATTGCAATATTATTTGATTGAACTTTTTCAACAAATTTTTAGTGTTATACGTATGCATGCCTGTATTGTAACATTTATTTCAAAGTGCTGTGCAATATTTTTAATATTCATCGGCAACGATTTTCTACAAATATTCGTTGTATGTGTGTATCTGTGGTTATGCCCAGGACGAAGAAATGAAGGTAAGGAAAAAATGGATGGAATACTGAGCGACGGCCGGATAACTGGAGTTTCTCCTCCCAAGGAGGGAGGAAGAGGTTGTACAGTCTGACGAGTTAGGACGGCCAGAGTGGAAAAGAAAAAAGGAAGAGAGAAAACGAGTTAAACAGAGCCAGCACCATTCCTTTCAACAGTATGAAACTACGCATCACATGTCCACGATTCATATTGAATTTCATGACCTCCAAGGGGCTTGTTCGATTTTGTACGACAGTATTTTAATTGGCTGGGAAAGACAGTTAATTTTGACTTTTGAGTAAGAACATTGATGGGTCTTTCTTGTGGGACCAAACATATATATGCATGGTGAGAGATCTAATTAAGCAACCATTTAGTTCAGGTAAGACATTTAGCTTACGAGAAGAATCATGGAAAGGTGTGTGGAAAGAGATCTTGAAATTGAAGCAGGTCTCAGCACAAGAAGGGTTCGTGCAATTCTCCTGAAAATGAGAGAGATGTGTGAATTGAATGAGCATGAGTTCCTCCAATTGAGGGCCCAAGTAATTTGATTGATTAATTAACATATACTAAGAGAAACTAAAATTATATATATATTTGACTTAAAGCATCCAGCATCTACAGGCACGGATATTATTGCCTATCTTAAGAGAAGTACCTTGGAAAGATATACAATATTGTTCAAAGGGTACTGCAAGACTAATATTGGCCTTAATTTGGGGAAATCTGGGCAAAAATCCACTCATTACAGGTTCGCAAAATCCATGGATATCACCTGCGTTTCAACTGGAAAAGAATTCATTATTGCAGGCATGCATGTGAAACTTCCTAATTAACAAGAGCAATGAGGAAAAGGTCAAGAATTTTTTTTTATATATATAACAAAGTCAAAGCCATGGGATTTCAGAACTATAATTATAAAATCGCTTTCCATTAAATTCTTGGTCGTCCTATACCATCACTGATGATGTCTTCTTATAGGAAGTTTTGCAGAAGAATATCAGGATGAATAAAATAACAAGGAAAATATACAGAGGATAAACAAAGTTTCTTTGAAATATTTGGCAATAGGGTCGCAACAAGATTCCACAATGAACCGTGCTCACACTCTAGTTACAGAGAGATTGAAGAATGGAAAATATATTTTTTCCATTACAAAACAATCCATTTTAGTTAAAGCCAGTTAATGTAATCTTTGACCAGATAAAATAAAAAGATACACCCTCACTTAATTTAATTGAGATGGTTAACCTCGTGTTTACTTTGTCTATTCTTGGGTTATTAATCGGTTAGTTCAATCATTGATTTATTTAGGTTGCGTTTAAAACTTGATCAATTTGGTGCTAACATAATTTATAGGATAAAACATTTTTTTCCCCTTGTTAGATATCTGTTCCGTGTAAAATATTTTCTGGTACTTATTTCTATAAAATATTTTATAAAACAAATTTAGTTAATATAAAATGTTTTATGATTAATCTTAAAATTTAATTTATTTATTAAAATATATTATCAAATCATAAAATTTTATAAAATATTTTACAAACAATAACCTAATTATATTATTATCAAACTATTTTAATCACCATCTTCATTTCATAACCATAATTATTTTATTATAATTTTTTTTTTATCATTATCACCATCATCTCACCACCACAACTATAATAATCTCGCAACCACAACTATAATAATCATCTTACCACGTTTCATAACCATAATTATTTTATTATAACTTTTTTTTTTTATCACTATCACCATCATCTCACAACCACAACTATAATAATCTCACAACCACAACTATAATAATCATCTTACCATACTATGTCATTATTTTTTTTTTCTTCACCACCATAACAACCATCTTTTTAGAAACAAATATCACCTCACCATCACCATTTCCTTCTCCACCGCTGCCTCACAACCATCACCTTTTCACATTGTTATGAATATAATTACTACTATATCATCATCATCATCATACCATTATCCCATCACCTCCACCATTGAAAATTATTTACATATAAAATCAAATCAAACATTTGACATCATTTCCTATGAATTGCATTCCCATCTTAGTTTATTTATGGACGGACTACACTCACCGCCCCTTTAATTTATGGCTGGATTCTACGTACAGGGTCATTGACAAACACTACTGATGGAGGTAAATTTTCCATGGCAGCAATTATTTGGTTTGACATTCAACAATGGTGTCGAAGCCCTGTCAACATTACTGGAACAGCATTGTTCATTCTGCCAAACTCAAGGCCTCTAGATCCCGTCTTTGGACTGTAGTGGCCGTCGATCTCCATGACAGAAAAAGGGCAACATTTCCGGTTTCATGGTATTGTGACGGTTCAGTTTAGATCTCAAAGAAAAATGGACTGTTTAAGATTGTAAGGGAGGAGTCATTTATGTCGAAGATGGGTTGCTATTAGCCCTGTCGAAAACATGCCCATACCTCAAGTACATGTATATATTGACGATTGTCAACTACAGGCCTCCAGCTGTCTCTTCTTCTTTGAAGAGAGAATGTGTATCCTAGTCCAACTAGCCCCCCGATTAACCCATATCTGACAAATACAATTATTATTATTATTATTATAACATATACCATAGAACATTTACTTTGGTTTTTTTTTTTTGTCTTCAATTCTTTTTATTGCGTACTTCTATACCTAAATCGAGATATAATTTATTCTTGGACT